GTAGGCGTAATGAGATGGAAAATGAAAATGTTTGGTGTTTGTGTGTGTGTGTGTGTGTGTGTGTGTGTGTGTGTGTGTGTGTGTGAGGATTAAGCCGACCACTATCCGGCCTGGCTGTTGGGTGCAAAAAAGGTCCACTGAAGGGTGCTCTCATGGTCTAGAGGTACGGTGTTTGCCTCTCATTCAGTAGGTCCTGGGTTCGAAACCTGACTGCGACGAAAGTCTCCACTTTCTGCCCCCCCCCCCAACGTCCCCCCCCCTCCTTTCTGGACTCTTGACACTTTCTGCTATCTTTCTTCTGCTACTCATTGGCTCCTTCTTACTGTTGTCTTTCAGCCACATCCATGAGCTTAGAGTAGGTAAAATCTAACGCCTAACCTTCTCGGATAAGGACACAAAAATCTCGGAGGTCCCGTGTGCAAGCTGCACACGTTAAAGATCCCTCGGTGGTTCTAAAATCGATAAGAATCGGCTGTGGCCGCCTCCACAGCAAAATTAAAAATGAATTCCTATCAAACTGAAATAACCGAATATGTCCAGTTGCCAGCGCCTTAAAACACTAACCAAAAATAAAAATAAAAAAGGTCCACTTATTACTACCTACTACACCATCCTCAGAGCACAGACACATGGTATTTATGCCTCTATTCCCCGGGGTGGTAAGAGGAAAGATAACATAACCAGAAAACTGAAATGTGTCTTGTGGGAAATAGATCACGACCATCCGTTGGTGCTGCATAACGAAATGCGAACAAGTACAAGGTTACCAAGCAAAGCGTGTCACAACGACAACTCAAGGCAATATCCGCCGTCAGGGTAAATTTATTGGTCCCATTGAAGAAGCTCATGGATGCTCCCGCAGAAAGAAATGCTGATAGGATTAAAGCAACCAGACACCATTATGCAGCATGTCTGATGCAGAACTTTGAGCGGCATGAATTTTTCTTCATTGATGAGGCAGGGATCAACCTTTGGACAAAGAAAACCCACGGAATAGCACGCCGTGGTCAACGCTCTTGTGTTGGGTCGAAGATGACCAAATCTCACGATCATATTTGCCGTCAATGCCGAGGGGGGTCTGGTTTATCGTAACGTAGAAAAAGGGGGGATGACAGATGATGACAACCGATTCCTCCAAGATGTCGCAAACCGTCCTAGCAATCCTCACAACGAAGTTTGCTTTATATGCGACAACGCTTGTGCACACAGGCATGCTGTGACCTCCCTTTTCAATTTCTTTTAACATCTGTGAGAACGCCTTCTCAATTTGGAAATACACTTTGGAACAGGGACTCCCAGAAATTAAAAGTCAAATTCTCACCCTTTAGACTAATCAACAAACGATGGTACAGGTACATTATATTCTTTCTTGTTGCACAGCGGGTATGTATTTGGCTTTTTTGTGACCCCCCC